GAATAAAACTGCTACAAACATGGTTGAGCAAATGTCTTTGTTGTGTACTTGAGCTTCTTTTGGATATACGCCTAGGAGTGGTATAGCTGGATCTTGAGGAAGCACTATTCCTAATTGTCTGAGAAAGCGCCAGATTGATTTCCAGAGTGGTTGTGCAAGTTTGCATTCCCACCAGCAATGGAGGAGGGTTCCTCTTTCTCCACAACCTCTCTAGCATGTGTTGCACTTGAATTTTTGATCTTGGCCATTCTGGTGGGTGTCAGGTGAAATCTCAGGGTTGTTTTGATTTGCATTTCTCTGATGGCCGAGGATGTTGAGCATTTCTTTAAGTGTTTCTCTGCCATTCTGTATTCCTCTACTGAGAATTCTGTTTAGCTCTGTACCCCATTTTTTAATCGGATTGCTTGATTTGCTGCTTTTTTAACTTCTTTAGTTCTTTATATATTCTGGATATCAGCCCTCTGTCAGATATTGGGTTGGTGAAGATCCTTTCCCAGTCTGTAGGCTGTCGTTTTGTTTTGATGATGGTGTCCTTTACTTTACAGAAGCACCATTTGTTGAAGATGCTGTCTTTTTTCCACTGAATGGTTTTGGCTTCTTTGTCAAAAATCAAATATCTATAGGTATGTGGGTTTAATGTTGGGTCTTCTATTCGGTTCCATTGATCTACTTTTCTGCTTCTATGCCAATACCATGCAGTTTTTATTACTATTGCTCTGTAGTACAGCTTGAGATCAGGGATGGAGATGCCTCCAGATAATCTGTTGTTGTACAGGATCGTTTTGGAAATTCTGGGGTTTTTGTTTCTCCATATGAAGTTGATAATTTTTCTCTCAAGATCTATGAAGAATTGTGTTGGTATTTTGATTCTGCATTGAATCTGTAGATTGCTTTTGGCAGGATGGCCATTTTCATTATGTTAATCCTACCAATCCATGAGCACAGGAGATCTTTCCATCTTCTGATATCTTCTTCAATTTCTTTCATCAGAGACTTGAAGTTTTTCTCATACAGGTCTTTCACTTCCTTGGTTAGAGTCACTCCAAGGTACTTTATGGTATTAGTGGTTATCGTGAAGGGATGACGTGAGTTCCTACATAGAATTTCTGGCGTGAAGCACAAAATACTAAATAAGGAGACTGTTTCTTTCTCATTCATTTGGTTTAAATTTTTTTCTGTGGCTGAAGAAATGGCTCAGTGTTTAAGAGTTTTGGCTGTTCCTCTAGGGGACCCAGGTTTGATTTCCAGGACTCACAGGGTGATTCACAACCACCTGTAACTCTAGTTCTAGAAAACTCAACTCCTTTTCTGGTCTCTGTGGGCATTGCATACCCATGCTGCACAGACATACATGAAGGCAAATTACCCACACACATAAAAATAATAAATAAAATGCTTTTAAAAATGTCTTTTCATTGTTATCATTGATATTTTTATGTCTTACCTTATACATTTAAAAATAGTTTTCATATGACATTCGTTTCTCTTTATTAATTCTAGTTAATTCTTTTACATATTAAAAACTTTGAGCCTGGTGGTGGTGGCACATGGCTTTAACCTCAGCACTCTGGAGGCAGAGGCAGGGAGAGCTCTGTGAGTTCAAGGCCAGCCTGGTCTATAGAGTGAATTCCATGACAGCAAGAGCTACCCAGAGAAACCCTGTGCCAAAAAACCAACCAACCAAGCAACCAACCAAAACCCAAAACCACCTTGGATCGACTTATCTGGAGAATAATTTGAAGAACAATGTTTATTCTAAAGACAGTTTTAGGGCATGCCTCACGAGCCTAAATCATATAATCTAATTACAGCCCATATCTCTCAGAAATTATGGATTTTACAGACACTATTATGTTTCACTACAATGATAAGGTTCTTGTTCAACTTGAGTGTGAGCAATTCAGTCTGTACTCCACTGTATTTAAAACACGTGAACTGTGATTTAAAGGAAACCACCACTGTTTCTTTATCGATTGACTGAGTAATTGAGGCAAGGGCTCATTATGTGGCCCAGGCTATCCCTAATCTCAAAATAATCTTTCTGCCTCCGTCTCACATGCTGGGATTACAGGTGTATGTCCCCATGCCCAGCTTGTAAAACACGTGTACAGTAGTGTCTAATGTTCTTCCTTGAGCCTTTCGTCTTAGCTTATTCTGTACAACCGTCCTCTGTGCTTCCCCTTCTGGTTCAGTGGTCCAGCCGCGCTCTGCTTCCCCTCTCTGTGTAAGGCTCCCCGACCCACTGGAGGTTTGAGTGTGTAGGGGTCAGAAGGGGTGTGTGTAGGCATCGGGTCTTTGTTGTTGTAGCGTGAAGCAGAGCCCCATGCATCTGGTCCTGAATGCGTTATGCAGCTGAGAATGGCCTTGAACTTCTGATCCTCCTGGTTTTTGCCTCCCGGGTGCTAAACTTTTTAGATTAGATTTTTCTAATTCTGTTACCATTCACTTACTTTCCAGCTTCCAAAACTTCAATTTCCAGAACAAATTCTTTTTTTCCTCAGTATTTTTCTTTTTTTTAATTTTAACTTTTATTAGTTACAATTTATTCACTTTGTATCCCCCCTGTCGCTCCTCCCTCCTCCCCTCCCAAGCTCACCCTCCCTTCCCCTTTTCCACCATGCCCCTCCCCCAGTGCACTGATAGGGGAAGTCTTCCTCCCCTTTCTTCTGATCTTAGTCTATCAGGTCTCATCAGAAGTGGCTGCATTGTCTTCCTCTGTGGCCTGGTAAGGCTGCTCCCCCCTGAGGGGGAGGTGATTAAAGAGCAGGCCAATCAGTTCATGTCAGAGACAGTCCCTATTCCCATTACTATGGAACCCACTTGGACAATGAACTGCCATTGGCTACATCTGTGCAGGGGTTCTAATTTATCACCATGAATGGTCCTTGGTTGGAGTATCAGTCTCAGAAAAGACCTCTGGGCTCAGATTTCTTGGTTCTGTTGCCCTCCTTGTGGAGCTCCTGTCCTCTCCAGATCTTTCTATCTCCCCCTGCACTCTGCCCAAAGTTTGGCTATGAGTCTCACCATCTGCTTTGATAGTCTGAGGGCAGAGCCTTTCAAAGGCCGTCCGTGGCAGGCTCTTGTCCTGCAGAACAAAACTTTGAGCAAGAACTAAAAGAATTTTACATAATTGATATTCTAGATCTCAATAAGAACTTGTTATTTTTAGCAGCTGTAATAACAAGCATGCTTTATGAGATGCTTTATGCTTTACAAATGCCTATGGGAGCGAGGCAGGTATTCTTTGCAGAAATCAGGGTCAGAGACAGTTAGTTAGGTGTCTCATACTGGACGCTATAGGAAGAAGACACGTGCTCTAGGTGCCGCAAGCAGCAGCTACAGCAGATAGACATGGCTGTGCAACACCATTAAAGGCAGGGTATCTGAGACAGTGCTCATGGCCTGTCTCACTGCTTCCCCACTGTATACACTTTATAAGGACAGATTCAGAAGTGTCCTAGTAGCAGCCGTGAGGAAAGTAGGTGAGAGGGACAAGTCAAGGGCATTGCTGTGTGGTTAGCTTGGGTGACAGGGAAGGTGAGTCCTAGCAGGAATGACATGGCAGACTGCCTGAGCCAGGGCCAGGGCCAGGGCCAGGGCCCAGAGAGCACTCATGTCCACATTCAAGACTCCTTGGAAGACTGAGCTAAGAGTTTGGGAGGTTAAAGAGGAGGCAAGGTTAAAGCCTGGCTTGAGTTATGCCAAGGGAAAGTTGACAGCAAAGCCGTGAGATCAGCAGTACGTACCAGTGAGCCCCAGCAGAGCAGCAGCACCTCCTTCTCCAGGAGGTGCCCTCCATAGAGCTGCCATCTTGGGATGCAGAAGAGCGTGCTGCTATGTCAGAGAAAGAAAAAAACCCCTGATGGACCTTGAGCCTCCAGCTTCACTGAACGTTTATGTGAAGGAGACATTTCAATCAAAAGAACCCATGCTGGGGGCCGGGGAGATGGCTCATTAGTTAAGAACACTTGTCATTCTTGCAGAGGACCATGGTTTGGTGCCTCGCTCCGGCACAGTGGCTCATAACCTCCCCAAGTCCAGTTCCAGGACACCCATTACTTTCTTCTGACCACTGCAGGCACCAGGCACGCATGTGGCACACACATCCTTACAGGCAAAACAGCCTTACACATAAAATAAATAAACAAAAAATAAAAAAGCGTAAGTCAAAGCAAAAATAACTGTACAACGGGAAAGCTATTAAATTACTTGAAACCGGAAAATGTCAGCACTCCACCCATCAGCAGAAATTTAGGGCTTATAAGAAAGAGCGGGGGGGTTGGGGAGAGAGCAGCTGAGATGGCACCTCAGCTGATAAAGCTCTTGCCTGCCAAGCGTGAGGGCCAGAGGCTGATCCTCAGCACCCCTGTGAAGAGGAGGGTCACTGACAGCTGCTTGTAGAGTCATCCAGGGATGGATGCACAGAAGGGCAGGTCTTTGGGCCCAATCAGCAAGCCCTGAGCCCCTGGGAGAGATCTCATCTCCAAACTCAAGGTTGATGGCTCCTGCAGAATGACATGAAGATTGATCTGTGGCCTCCACAGACACGGTCACACTTGTTCAGGCCTGTACACACACACACACACACACACACACACACACACACACACACACACAC